GGTAATAAATACAATTGTGTGGTTATAAATACAATAAGACTAGATAAGAGCTCCCGATAGCAGATTGATCAATGTCAGACGAATTTTATTTAGACATTAATAAAGAGGCTTCATATATAAGTGATATCCGAAAGGAAGAAATCTTATTTAATGAGCTCCCCTTACTGGATAATAGAAGCATGAAAAAATTGAAATTATGAATAAACCAAAGTCTCAGTTATCACCACATCTAATTTATTGCATTAAAAAAAAATGAAAACAATAAGAGATCCAATGATTCTTAAAGTACTAACAAAAATTGCTCACATTACTCACATTTTTTATATCACTTCATAACCAATGCACAGTCTTTAATTTCCTAAAACGTTACCATTGTGTTTAGGTTCTAAATAGTAGTCTTATTTCTCTCTCTTAATTATTGACAAATTCTACCGTATAAATGTCAGAAAGTGTGGTTGCAAACCAAGCTAGAGCGCTGCTTTCAAAAATAGGTACCTCATCTTCGCAGTAGTCTCAGATTATAGTCGTTCTTAATTTCTTCATAAAATATACTTAATTTATGCTGTGTTATAACTATGTTGCATAGTTAGTGCAAATAGGACTAGATTAGCTATCTTCTGTCTTCATGGAAACTTTCTGCATGAAATTGAACTTAATCAACATTATATCCATTGAACGATCTCATTTCTTTTTCTCATGAATACAATTATTATAAGGTTAGTTATATAAGTACTTATAATGTTTACCTCTCAGCGGATAATATTATGGACATCTTCATATCTCTGATAAGTTATCTTATAAATAACGAGAGTGCAAATAAGACAATTGAGCTTATAGCTTCTACAAACACATCGCATTCCGTTTTGAGGATATTCTTTGCAGAGATAGTACTTATTAATATTTCCTTTCAATTTCTTTTTTAGCATATTCCATATGAAGAAGAAGTAAATTGTTTATGTTGAGACCTCTCCTAGATCCACTAATTTAATGTAAACTGTACTGTTACTGTATAAAGTATTAGTATTATCTAATATTTTGTAGCTACCAATAAGTTGCTATGAATTTCGTCTATTTTTGTGCATATGTTTTAAATAATTCTTATTATCTTAATCGGATAAATTTTGTCTAACATAAAATCGTATTTTAAGTAAAGTAGGCATGAGACAGTCATTTATTTAAATGAAATCTCACTTAGGAGAATGCCCTGAATCAATAAAACTCAATGTAGTCGATGTACACCAGATAATTAGAATTATAATTTAACTAATTATGTTTTGATATTAAAAGTATATTAGTGTTATCATTTATTAGTGTTAATAGTAGTAAGTATTTGGAGAATGTTCTAAAAATGAATTGATTAATTTTTGTAAATGAACAAAATGTATTTGGACTTTGTATTACGCACTGCAGACTCTAGAACATATTTATATTTTTATTTCACACATCTACGATTCCGTCTTTAACTGATCTTTAAATACCAATTTTTACTTATATTAATATAGCAATAATTAACCATCAATTCACAACTTACTTTGAAGAACTAACGCGGAAGTAACCATCTCGAAGATCTTAGTGAATGAATGAATCAGTGAATTACCCGAATAGAATAGAATGAGCGATGTCGAACTCTGCATCTTGTTTTCACTAAAATGTCATCCAAGCAAACAGACATATAAAATGTAATAGTCATAGTCATGTAATTTTACATAAACATTACAGAATTACAAGAGTCTAATGGAATCTTTTTCAATATATTTTTTAATAAATTATGAGCAGAAAGTACATATGGTATTTAATTTCTCGTGAAGAAAGTATTTCATACATATACTGTTAAAAATGTGACTTGACCTCGAACGCAAGGTTACTCAGTTAAATAATTGGATAGACCGATAGACCTATGAAATGAATATGTCTCAAGCATGCCGATAAAAGTAGGTATCGGTGTGCTTAGTTGGCAATGTATACTAACTTCTATTAAAGAGTACTAATCAGCTAAGTTCTTTCATATATACATTGAAGCTTTTATAGTTCTGCGGCCGCCAAACTTATACACCTACAAAGTTAACTTACAAGTATTTTTTTTAATCTAGTTTTTTTTCTACTTCATTTTTTAACAAATTTAAAATAACTTTACATTATTATATTTTTTATAATATATTATATCTGAATAAATTTTTGGTAAGATTTTTGGTAAAAAATTTGAGTAATTCCGCCAATTACTGCCCAGTATAAAACAAAAAGATCACATCCAGTAAAGTTCAAGGAATCTTCTGTTCTAAGTAATATAGAAAAAGTTTCGTTTCTCTACTGATGAGCTAATTATGTTTGTTAATAATAGTGTCTGTGTTTTCCAGATTCTTAAGCCGCTAAAGCCACTTTTGCGTATAAAGGATCAACTTGCGAAGGATGCCGCTAACTTCTCTACAGCGAACCGAAATACTTCGTCATTGTGTGATAATTGGAACCTTTTTTGGTTTAATAAAAAACAGTTTTTTTATTCTAATTGACTTGCTCCAGACCATATTAGCATTTTGCCACCACAATATTGCCCCCTCCGTCTCGCCTATTATTTGGTGGTTGGTAACGGGTTTATTTGGACTCGCTGGTATCGTACTATTATCTTGGCAAATTCAAATAAAATGTAAACCCCTATTCATGAAATTACGCCTTAAGGGACTGGCCCAACTATTTGCAGTGGAACTTTGCAAGTTCAGACCACTCACATATCGTCATAGAGCATATATTCAGTCACTGTTATATGAAGACCAAAACTTACGTGCAATTTTAATTGAATTTTCTGAAGCAGTGAACGAATTGAGTTTAGGAGAGATAAAATATATGATTGGGACAAATAGAAGAACGAGACAGCTTTGTGGATATTTAAGTATATATATCACTTTACTCCTTGATCTGTAAATTGAAGCGTAATGAAAAGGCTGCGTTAATTTTGCTTTAAATTTAAGGAGTAAATTTAAAATGAATGGGTAAATGAATCATAGATTTTATTTGATATGTCGTTTTATCTTTAAAAACAATTTCAAATATTAAATAATAAATCAGAAATAGCAAATAAAATAAACCATATCAAAATGCGTATAAATATTTTAAAGAACTATAAGTTGCCAAAGTAATGTCTACCAATGTAATGGCGACCAATTTTCTCGGAAATGAAATGCAAAGCAACCGATTGGATATGATGACGGACAGGACAGGAGATATGCATTTAAAAAGTGCATATATATTTTAACCTCGCTATAGGGCGTTTCTTTCTATAATGAAGTTTTTTCAGGTACGCAAACAAACTCAACTAGCACGTTTCAACTTATGAGCTGGTGTATATGTTCTGCAGTTTATAATAGGGAAGAATGATGTTTTCTCGGAAGATTGCATGTATCTAAAAGAAGTGTGGTTGAATTGCAGCGTTGATATAATCGGTGTATCTTTTAACAATTTTATTAATATTGAAACAATGACATAGTCGCCATAGCCCATACTGCGAATGAAGACCATATCTTTTCTGTATGAAATAATTTTTTATTTATCCATTTACCCTACCTTTACCCTAACTTAAAGTGACTTGAGGTGATCTTTCGGTATTCTAGCCCATTCCTGAACAATGAATTTATTCAACGCATTCATACTGGTATATTTTTTAGCCCTTCTCATTGTGTGAACGAAATGAAGTGTTGAACATGATTTTTTGGTTCGAATGGTTCGTGGTTCACATAGCTGGTTGTGATTGTGATTTTCCAGCTAAATATAACGCAATTAAACTACGTTTGAGTTCCATTTCGTCTACTTTTGTTCTATAATACTTAGACGCAAATGCTTGTGGCTGGTAGTAAACAATATAAAAAGCTGTCATTCGTATCAGTTTCACGTAGTAGACAATATCAGTTTGATAGATACACCTGTGTGCAGTTGGTAACACTTCAATCGTTTAAACCTGCATATAGAAAACAAAAATTGATAAGGTACAGGTTCCCAACAGAACACAAACCAACTGTTATAAACAGAAGTCTTTTGACTCTCAGTCTTTTGAATGAAAAGAAAAATTGCATTTGTTTAAGATATCATAATGCCGACGATGATGAGAATTTTCTTCCATGTGTGTTGTTCTTGGCTTTTATAAAAGACAGTACTATATGTCATAAAGACTGAGCCTAAATGTTTTATCTGCTTTCCAGCACAGTCGATAATCTGTGTTTCAAGAGAGGGCCATCTTATTAAAATATTAACGTTTGCCATTCCAACTCATCAGATAACCTAGGAATAGACTAAGCTCTCTTTTTGCGGGAAGGAACATCTTACTACGAGAAGTGGAGACAAATCAGGTCTTTAATTTGCTGATTATTTGGAGTGTCACACCAATGTTAACTCATTTCAGTTTCACATTAGGGAGTTGCTAATGAGACTTCTTATTCCACAATAAGGATCTGATCCACAGAATTGAATAACTGATTTAGTTTATATAAGACTGCGTGTTATTGATCGTTGACACAATCCCTTTGATTCCAGTGTGACCAGGCATTCAATGGAGTACTATACTGTCCTTGCTTGTCAATTGTTGTAGCATGTCATAGTAGTCTGCACTTCAATGTTTAAATAGTTCAGACATATAACTAGAAATAAATACTATGTTATATGCTTGCACAATATTATATAAACGTGAAAAGTATTTCTATAGTAATCTTTTCATATGTGAATATTTATTTTAATTGTCAAGACAATTACTATCGTTCCTAAATTATTTTGACGTGGAGGTCTTGTCACAATTGTTTATTAAACCCTGAAAAACTACACAATACTATGGTAAAAGGTATGTGCCTAATTAGTAGACTCTATAGTACTTTAAACACATGTTTTCATTTTGCTATTAAAATTCTCAAAACCCTCATAACAGTATTTTAGATTTCAAAAAAAAATTTATAAGTTAGCTTAGTTTAATTCAAAAATTAAATGTTAAATAAAAAACTATAGATTTCAGTTATATTATTTTTGTCAAAAGTAAGGTCAAAATTTTTAGTTCATTAAAAAAAAATGCGTGTTGTAAGGAAACGTAAGTCCCATAAGGTTCATAAAGTCAAAACTATAACAAGAAAAATATTTAGAGCTGAATTTACTTCCATTAAAAGCTCCCGAGGTCGAACAGGGTTGGAGATCTTACGTGAAGCTGTAATTTAATAATAATAAAGATATAAAACTTATTTGCTTACAATTTTAATTTCACAGGAAATGGAAGAAAATCGCAAAAAAAGGAAAAAGAAAAAGGTTCGGCTTTGAAAAAAATGGTAAGAACTATAGAAATAAGATCCACAAGTTTTTAAGTGGTATTTTGTGGAAGGGTGAGCTACGAACCACTTAAGCAGAACATAACAACCATACAAGCACAAATAAAAGACACATGACACAGCCTACAACCCGGTAGAGTTTCTGAGTCTGGAAGAAACTGCTACTGTGAAGCCTTAAACACTTGCTCGCCTCCAATTGAATCATGTAAGATTGCAATAAATGCTACACAATTACTAAAAAGAAAGATAAGTGCACATTTCTACAAGGTAAGTCATTTTCTTTTTTTTGCAAAAGGGTTATAAGGAATTCTTTTATAATATATTTAAAGCCTTCAACGTATAAAACAGAAATCACAGATCATGAAAATCTTTTGAAATGTAACACACACTAATACGATTAGCAATAAAAATAATTTAGAGGTGGATTCGGAGAAGGCTAAAATTCTCTATAAGCATGGAAAAATCCAGTAAGCAAAGTTTTCAAAAGTCGATGGGGGCGTTTACTAATCTTACAACTTATTTTTATAATTGTTCTTATCTATAGCTTAGGAAATATGGTAAATACAAACCAAACACAAACAGGTATACAGATATACAGCACAGGTATAGTATAATTGTGATCTCACCTATTCAGTTAAAATCATCATTGATATATTTTTCAAGTGCGAGTTTAACCTCTAGACAGCAACATGGAGAGAAATTCTTTATGCTCAATTACCATATCTTATTAAAATTAAAATTAGAAAAGTGTTTGAAGACCCAACTATAAAAATTTGATATATAAATTGTTTTAATTGATTTGGGGACAGAAAAGAGAAAGTCGTCTCACTATCAAATCAGATGCTGCAAGCAAAATCGACCTGGAAATGATATTACAAAAAGTCACGAAGTTGGAGTACATAATTATAAGCAACATACCAATTTTTAAGACTTGCAAAATCTTCTCGATGAAATGGTTCTGATACTGGTAAGTAACACAAAAATTATCACAGATATTATATATTCATCAAGAATTCAATCAAATTTAACACAACTGTAGACAACTCACTCAAGTAAATAGACCATATATCGAGAAGAATCTATAATAAAATCCTTTCGGAGAGCGTTCACTTACTTTTTCACACACTCTACGAAATATGTGTAGTCCTGAAGCAATCTAAAAATTAATTATACTCATAAGAAATTAAATGTGACTTAAAATTAAATTAATTTCAAATTTTAATTTAAATGTAGCTCTTTCGGGAAATGTCGACACAATCAAGTGCAGAACTGATGAGTTGCCCAATGGCTGATGGGGTAACTATTCTGACTTAGGTTCAATTCTAATTAATAAGTAAACGATCCATAGCCTTTGGATAACGTAAAATAAAACCTAACAAATCTGAATTTAATGGACACCATCGAAAAAATAATCAAGCAGAAGTAAAAAAAAGGAAAACATCGGAATTATAAATAGAAATTTCCTTATAAAATACTTTTCGATGAGGTTCGCAGAGTTAATGAATATATAACTGCAATATTGATGACTGCTAGAGAAGCGGGATGAGAACATGACGACAAGTAGTGGAAGATCCACCTGAAAATGAAATTAATAACTTATTAAATGAAGAATTAAATGAAGATATTTATAACAGGTTCAATGTATTTCTTCCAATTCTTTGGTATTCTTTCTGTTGCAGAATTCAAAAAATTGAAATCAATTAATTTTTTCCATTTCGTTTATGGAATGTAGTATGCCTTTAAGTAGTGAAAGTAATCCACCGTTTCCAACATAAAATGTATCAAATTACTTAAATTAAAGAATACATAAGGTATATTTAAACAACCTAATCTCCAAGAGAGATTGTTCTGGACACTATCAGGAAAAAGTACACATTTAATATATTCAAATATACTTAGAGATCAGGAATGTAATAACATTTACTTCTACTTTAAGGATAAAGTTGGGATTGCTGCTGTTCTTAGAAATATACTAGAAATGTTTGACCTGCGTATAATGGCAAGACAAAGTTATTAGGAAGAAGTCGAGACATGTGTCACAAAGAAAGTTTAAAACAACATTTTATGAAATTCGACGGTGCCAGTAAACAACTCAGCGTCTTAGAGTTCACAAAATGAATTCACCGGGTTTCCAAACACACAAATGTACCATATGGTCGTACACAATATCAGATTTTCTAAGTGTGGGTGGGTGTTTTCTATTTGCTAGTGCTATAGCCCATTATAGTCCAATGCATTGAAGAGAAACTTATAATATGTATGAAAATTGGAATAGTGACAAAAACCGTAAGCCCAGTATTTTCAACAATCTTCATATGTTAAAAAATGAGAAAAAGACCTTAACATTCAACGTCATTATAATCCTTATAACCAATTTTATATTACAATTAAATTAGTTTTAAGCAACAAAAGAAATATATTTTTTAAATAAAAATATTTGGTACCGTAATTATTATCGAGCCTGGTTCATTTTTCATTAATTGTGTGGATACAGAACCATAAACTTTATTTGATTGAATCCAGAAGTGTGAAATAGGTCTTTGGAATCACAAACGAAAATTGGGGTAGTTAAATAGTCAATATGTTACAACAAGATTTCAGAAATAATAAATATTTTAAGTATTTCTGGATGTTATTAGATTACTCGTACTACAAGCCTTTATTGTAGAGTCAAAATAATTTTTCTAAATAACATGAAACCGATGTGGAGTTTTTCTTTAAAAATTGTTTTATATCGGTAATAAATACAATTGTGTGGTTATAAATACAATAAGACTAGATAAGAGCTCCCGATAGCAGATTGATCAATGTCAGACGAATTTTATTTAGACATTAATAAAGAGGCTTCATATATAAGTGATATCCGAAAGGAAGAAATCTTATTTAATGAGCTCCCCTTACTGGATAATAGAAGCATGAAAAAATTGAAATTATGAATAAACCAAAGTCTCAGTTATCACCACATCTAATTTATTACATTAAAAAAAAATGAAAACAATAAGAGATCCAATGATTCTTAAAGTACTAACAAAAATTGCTCACATTACTCACATTTTTTATATCACTTCATAACCAATGCACAGTCTTTAATTTCCTAAAACGTTACCATTGTGTTTAGGTTCTAAATAGAAGTAGTCTTATTTCTCTCTCTTAATTATTGACAAAACTCAGTCAATTTAAAAATTTCCATTATCATAGAGTCTGTCATATATCAAATTCTACCGTATAATTGTCAGAAAGTGTGGTTGCAAACCAAGCTAGAGCGCTGCTTTCAAAAATGGGTACCTCATCTTCGCAGTAGTCTCAGATTATAGTCGTTCTTAATTTCTTCATAAAATATACTTAATTTATGCTGTGTTATAACTATGTTGCATAGTTAGTGCAAATAGGACTAGATTAGCTATCTTCTGTCTTCATGGAAACTTTCTGCATGAAATTGAACTTAATCAACATTATATCCATTGAACGATCTCATTTCTTTTTCTCATGAATACAATTATTATAAGGTTAGTTATATAAGTACTTATAATGTTTACCTCTCAGCGGATAATATTATGGACATCTTCATATCTCTGATAAGTTATCTTATAAATAACGAGAGTGCAAATAAGACAATTGAGCTTATAGCTTCTACAAACACATCGCATTCCGTTTTGAGGATATTCTTTGCAGAGATAGTACTTATTAATATTTCCTTTCAATTTCTTTTTTAGCATATTCCATATGAAGAAGAAGTAAATTGTTTATGTTGAGACCTCTCCTAGATCCACTAATTTAATGTAAACTGTACTGTTACTGTATAAAGTATTCGTATTATCTAATATTTTGTAGCTACCAATAAGTTGCTATGAATTTCGTCTATTTTTGTGCATATGTTTTAAATAATTCTTATTATCTTAATCGGATAAATTTTGTCTAACATAAAATCGTATTTTAAGTAAAGTAGGCATGAGACAGTCATTTATTTAAATGAAATCTCACTTAGGAGAATGCCCTGAATCAATAAAACTCAATGTAGTCGATGTACACCAGATAATTAGAATTATAATTTAACTAATTATGTTTTGATATTAAAAGTATATTAGTGTTATCATTTATTAGTGTTAATAGTAGTAAGTATTTGGAGAAGGTTCTAAAAATGAATTGATTAATTTTTATAAATGAACAAAATGTATTTAGAATATATTCATATTTTTATTTCACACATCTACGATTCCGTCTTTAACTGATCTTTAAATACCAATTTTTACTTATATTAATATAGCAATAATTAACCATCAATTCACAACTTACTTTGAAGAACTAACGCGGAAGTAACCATCTCGAAGATCTTAGTGAATGAATGAATCAGTGAATTACCCGAATAGAATAGAATGAGCGATGTCGAACTCTGCATCTTGTTTTCACTAAAATGTCATCCAAGCAAACAGACATATAAAATGTAATAGTCATAGTCATGTAATTTTACATAAACATTACAGAATTACAAGAGTCTAATGGAATCTTTTTCAATATATTTTTTAATAAATTATGAGCAGAAAGTACATATGGTATTTAATTTCTCGTGAAGAAAGTATTTCATACATATACTGTTAAAAATGTGACTTGACCTCGAACGCAAGGTTACTCAGTTAAATAATTGGATAGACCGATAGACCTATGAAATGAATATGTCTCAAGCATGCCGATAAAAGTAGGTATCGGTGTGCTTAGTTGGCAATGTATACTAACTTCTATTAAAGAGTACTAATCAGCTAAGTTCTTTCATATATACATTGAAGCTTTTATAGTTCTGCGGCCGCCAAACTTATACACCTACAAAGTTAACTTACAAGTATTTTTTTTAATCTAGTTTTTTTTCTACTTCATTTTTTAACAAATTTAAAATAACTTTACATTATTATATTTTTTATAATATATTATATCTGAATAAATTTTTGGTAAGATTTTTGGTAAAAAATTTGAGTAATTCCGCCAATTACTGCCCAGTATAAAACAAAAAGATCACATCCAGTAAAGTTCAAGGAATCTTCTGTTCTAAGTAATATAGAAAAAGTTTCGTTTCTCTACTGATGAGCTAATTATGTTTGTTAATAATAGTGTCTGTGTTTTCCAGATTCTTAAGCCGCTAAAGCCACTTTTGCGTATAAAGGATCAACTTGCGAAGGATGCCGCTAACTTCTCTACAGCGAACCGAAATACTTCGTCATTGTGTGATAATTGGAACCTTTTTTGGTTTAATAAAAAACAGTTTTTTTATTCTTATTGACTTGCTCCAGACCATATTAGCATTTTGCCACCACAATATTGCCCCCTCCGTCTCGCCTATTATTTGGTGGTTGGTAACGGGTTTATTTGGACTCGCTGGTATCGTGCTATTATCTTGGCAAATTCAAATAAAATGTAAACCCCTATTCAAGAAATTACGCCTTAAGGGACTGGCCCAACTATTTGCAGTGGAACTTTGCAAGTTCAGACCACTCACATATCGTCATAGAGCATATATTCAGTCACTGTTATATGAAGACCAAAACTTACGTGCAATTTTAATTGAATTTTCTGAAGCAGTGAACGAATTGAGTTTAGGCGAGATAAAATATATGATTGGGACAAATAGAAGAACGAGACAGCTTTGTGGATATTTAAGTATATATATCACTTTACTCCTTGATCTGTAAATTGAAGCGTAATGAAAAGGCTGCGTTAATTTTGCTTTAAATTTAAGGAGTAAATTTAAAATGAATGGGTAAATGAATCATAGATTTTATTTGATATGTCGTTTTATCTTTAAAAACAATTTCAAATATTAAATAATAAATCAGAAATAGCAAATAAAATAAACCATATCAAAATGCGTATAAATATTTTAAAGAACTATAAGTTGCCAAAGTAATGTCTACCAATGTAATGGCGACCAATTTTCTCGGAAATGAAATGCAAAGCAACCGATTGGATATGATGACGGACAGGCTAGAGATATGCATTTAAAAAGTGCATATATATTTTAACCTCGCTATAGGGCGTTTCTTTCTATAATGAAGTTTTTTCAGGTACGCAAACAAACTCAACTAGCACGTTTCAACTTATGAGCTGGTGTATATGTTCTGCAGTTTATAATAGGGAAGAATGATGTTTTCTCGGAAGATTGCATGTATCTAAAAGAAGTGTGGTTGAATTGCAGCGTTGATATAATCGGTGTATCTTTTAACAATTTTATTAATATTGAAACAATGACATAGTCGCCATAGCCCATACTGCGAATGAAGACCATATCTTTTCTGTATGAAATAATTTTTTATTTATCCATTTACCCTACCTTTACCCTAACTTAAAGTGACTTGAGGTGATCTTTCGGTATTCTAGCCCATTCCTGAACAATGAATTTATTCAACGCATTCATACTGGTATATTTTTTAGCCCTTCTCATTGTGTGAACGAAATGAAGTGTTGAACATGATTTTTTGGTTCGAATGGTTCGTGGTTCACATAGCTGGTTGTGATTGTGATTTTCCAGCTAAATATAACGCAATTAAACTACGTTTGAGTTCCATTTCGTCTACTTTTGTTCTATAATACTTAGACGCAAATGCTTGTGGCTGGTAGTAAACAATATAAAAAGCTGTCATTCGTATCAGTTTCACGTAGTAGACAATATCAGTTTGACAGATACACCTGTGTGCAGTTGGTAACACTTCAATCGTTTAAACCTGGATTTAGAAAACAAAAATTGATAAGGTACAGGTTCCCAACAGAACACAAACCAACTGTTATAAACAGAAGTCTTTTGACTCTCAGTCTTTTGAATGAAAAGAAAAATTGCACTTGTTTAAGATATCATGATATCATAATGCCGACGATGATGAGAATTTTCTTCCATGTGTTTTGTTCTTGGCTTTTATAAAAGACAGTACTATATGTCATAAAGACTGAGCCTAAATGTTTTATCTGCTTTCCAGCACAGTCGATAATCTGTGTTTCAAGAGAGCGCCATCTTATTAAAATATTAACGTTTGCCATTCCAACTCATCAGATAACCTAGGAATAGACTAAGCTCTCTTTTTGCGGGAAGGAACATCTTACTACGAGAAGTAGAGACAAATCAGGTCTTTAATTTGCTGATTATTTGGAGTGTCACACCAATGTTAACTCATTTCAGTTTCACATTAGAGAGTTGCTAATGAGACTTCTTATTCCACAATAAGGATCTGATCCACAGAATTGAATAACTGATTTAGTTTATATAAGACTGCGTGTTATTGATCGTTGACACAATCCCTTTGATTCCAGTGTGACCAGGCATTCAATGGAGTACTATACTGTCCTTGCTTGTCAATTGTTGTAGCATGTCATAGTAGTCTGCACTTCAATGCCTAAATAGTTCAGACATATAACTAGAAATAAATACTATGTTATATGCTTGCACAATATTATATGAACGTGAAAAGTATTTCTATA